CCCCTCTCTTTCTCTCTCTCTCTCTCTTTCTCTCTCTCTCTCTCTCTCTCTCTCTCTCTCTCTCTCTCTCTGCTATCTCGTATATCTCCCCTCTCTCTCTTTCACTCCCCTTTACACATCTGCTCGTTCCGCTCCGATTTTTGTATCGCTGCGCGTTTTTCGACTGGCTATCTCTTTCGTCCCGCTTGTTTAATCTATCCATCTCTATCTCATTTTCATTTTTCTCTTTTTCCGGCACATTCATCCGCGCTCCCTCCCCGCCGTTCGTCGCGTTTTCTCTCGGCGCCGCTCGTCCATCTCCCAATTTTGTTTCTCTCTTTCCTTTCCAGTTTGTCTGCCTCACTTCTGCCCATCTGCCTCAGTGGCCGTCCTTCGTCTTCCCTCTTGGCTCGTTCTTCCGTTTATTCTCTTTTTCTTTCATCCTTTCTCTCTCTCTCTCTCATTTTTTTCGTTCTCTTTCTCTTTCTCTCGCACTGTTGTTCCATCTTTCTTCTTTTCTCTTATGTTCTGTGTGTCGAGAGTGTGCAGAATGAGAGAAACGATTATGAGGCGAACGGGGTGGCTATGCCCCCCACAGGATATAGGGTGCCAGGGTGAGATTGGCAACACAGTATACTCGCTCTCAGTTTTGCTCTCCCTTCCACCAGTTTCTGTTATATTCTCCTAGCCTAACATTCTCTCTCTCTCTCTCTCCTTCCCTCTCGTTCTCCCCCTTTCACCCCTTCTCTCGCCATCGTTCTCTCTCTCTCTCTCTCTCTCTCTCTCTCTCTCTCTCTCTGTATCTCTCTCCCTCTTTCTCCCTCGCCACTCTCGTTGCATCCCGCACGACCCCACGAACTTTAGATTCGGCGTCGTCGTCGTGTACGCTACGCGCCACCGGATTGGCGGGTTGCGACCTAGCATGAATTATTCGGTAACCTAATAGTTTCTTGAGTAAAGAGCAGCAGAATGCTATATCTGCTCTTTGTGTATACCTCGCCATGTCACCCCTTGCAGGATACTTTTCTTCTCTAAGACGAGAACTGTGGGAGCGAAAATATCGAGGACATATTGAGGTGTACTTTCTCACCCAAATCATAATATTGACAATTATTATGTTGGTCCGATTAGGCAGTTACCGATAATTCTTTTGTTCGTGCGTCGGCATCCACATCTTGGTCGCACGTTGGCTTTTCCCTTGCATAATTTATTTTTATTAACGAATTTCAATTTATTGTCGTTATTAATGTTTGCGCTTGTCACAGGCGTACGTTGTAATTCGCGCTGTGTGACGCATAAATTCGTGATATTTGTCGATTTTATTTTTCACGTGAGAGGATTTCTCTGTCGAAAAATAATAAATTTACAGAGAGAGAGAGAGAGAGAGAGAGAGAGAGAGAGAGAGAGAGAGAGAGAGAGAGAGCCTTTCATCTCGCGCTCGGAGAAATATGTTGTACAGCCCGTATACGGATTATGAATTTTAGTGACGGGGTTGCGCATCAAGTTAATCCGCCGCTGGGTGGGTTTGCGAACGACGCACATCCCCCTCGGATGATGTAATCATTCGTTCGAGAGGGGCGATAGAATAGCTCAAATGAAAATTACTTTCTCGAATACCCGGAGCGGTGATGAGTAAGTTGAAGACGGAGGGTCGCCGCAGTCACCCTTCGCCGAATGTCAAAAAATAAACTCCAATTCGTGCGGCAGTTTCGAGCCGAGATAACGATGCTAATCGATGCGAAAACATCTTGCCTCGAACGAGCTGCGATTGTGCACTTGATCGTTGCGAGTTCTGCGGCCAAACATTTTCCACGTAGTCGAATATTTTCGACTTGCGCGATTCCGTGGCTCGCGCGAATCGAAATAGCGGTAGGCTTGATGCGAATCCGACAGCACTTCATCACACAGCTCGTTTAATGGAACATTCTATGAGCTATTTTCGACTTATGTGTTATGTGTCATATTCCGCTCACGCACGTACACAAATATAACATAACGCCGAACGCGCGCGAATACTACTAAATGCATGCGCATAGCCGGCGATGCACGCGCGCGCGCGTGTGTGTGTGTATATATATATATATATATATATATATATATATATATATGATGTACTTGCATACGGATCGAGTTTACACTAGTGTGACCAGATTCGTATATACATACATAGATGCAGCATTGTACTCGCTTCATCATACAGTTCGTACAGACGCGCGCGCGCGCACGCACGTGCACACACACCCAACACCCCTCTCACGCGTGTCAGACTATACATTCGTATCATAGAACAGTTCATGCGAGAAGGAGAAGTGCTCGAGGGGTCGCAGCGCCTATATGCCGTATTAACGCTGGGTTAATTTCACCAAGCGAGATCATCGAGTAGACTAACCGCGGCCAAATTCACTTTGACTCGATCTTTTCCCGCTGATTCTGCTGCGAAATTAGTCTTTTCAAAAGTGAATTTATGGAAATCTGAAAGAAGTAATTTCATTTTTGAGTTCTTGGATCAAACGACGATGATTGAATTAAAAAAGAAATATTGAATGCGTCTAACTGTGTAGTCGATTGCATAAAGTTTGCGACACTTTTCTTGATGACTTTATATAATACAATAATATTTACACTGGTTATAAATTATCTTTATTCGTTTTGTACTTAAAATTTTGGTAACTCTCAAACCTTTCGCTACGCAAGATCGTGTTCATAAGGTCGCAGTCTCTTTAACGCTTCTGGTTACACGTCGCCATCTTGGTTTATGATATCAGAAGTGCGAAAATATATGCTTCCAAAATTCCTGTATTTCGAAATAAAAAGATATTTCCAAAAAATAACATTTGCAATCAAACAAACACACCTAAAATGCTCTTTCCCTTTGTTGTAACAAATAATAACCATAAAATTAACGTGACAAAATAAGGAAATGTAGCTTAAGATAGTTACTGTCACATTAATTTTACTGATTATTAGTTATTTATTGGTTGTTAGAGCAAAAGAGGAGTGTAGAAGTTGTAATATTTTAGAAGTGCGCTTAATCGATTGCAAATGTCATGTTTTGGATATATCTTTTTATCTCAAAGTGTTTTACAGAAATTTTGGGTATACACTTTTTCGCTTCTGATGTCATCAGGAGTTCCGCCTCAATTTCGTGATTCCAAAATTCATGAAAAATAAATGTCTCAAACTTTATGTAAATGACTATACACATTTGTGTTAGTATCCTGGAAAAATTAAATCAATCCATTAGATCGGTTACCGTCTGTATTGTAATGCACAATATTTAGAGAGCACACTTCGACTAAACTCTGATTAATCTAATCTATGATAAATAATCTATGGATTTTCCAACACTAACTTCCAATTGTGTAATTTGTCGTTTAACGATAATAAAAAAATTAATAATTTCTATCTGGTTTATTTCCGTCCTTAACTTAGCAAAACAGAACTTTCAGCCATCTGTTTTATCAAAACTAGATAGATGACATTTGATTGAGATATCTATAGAAAATTTGTTAAGGGTTATTTAAGCTTCAACCTCCTGTTCTCCAAAATAATTATGGCTTTGAGTTAAAAGTGTAATTTTTCAAACATGCGATTCGAAGAAGGTAACCCGAAATCTTTTCAATATTTTTTCCCTGGTCTTTATTTTACACTAGAAATGAACAGAATATATATGTTGACTCTAAATTATTTCATTATTCAGTAAAATATTCAAAGTACTTGAAAAATATTTTTGCTTATTTTTTATTTTATTATATGAAAACAATGTGTGTATATTTGATATGAAAATAACATTTCCTATTTGATACTATAAAAATATACCAACTTTACCAACTGAGAAAAGCGCGAGTTCTCGTAGTATTTCGATTCTAGGTTGAGAACCTATGTTTGGAAAGAGCTGACTTTCTAAATAGTTTCATTACTCAGTAGAATATTCAAAATATTTTAAAAATATTTTCTTTTTGATTTTTTATTCTATTCAATATAATAATTGATATTAAAGTGGAATTTTCTATTTAATATTATAATAGTATGCTAAAATAGGATGCCGATATTACCGACTGAAAAAACGCGAGTTCTCATATTTTTATTTCTATTGTAAACAGAGTCCTTTGGGATTCTCACTTGGTATCGTAGTGGGATAATATTGCTACAAATGTTGACATTTTGAACGAAATCTATGCTATATCTGGGAAAATCTTGACAAATTTCTATGCGGGTAATGATTTTAAATAATCGATTAGAAAATCTTGGCAAATTTCTATACGGGTAACGATTTTAAGCCGCCACTCAGCGCCAATTAGATCAATCAAAGTTCAACGAAAGTCACTCTAATTTCTACGATAGCGATTTTCTCGCAATGTGCGGTAAACCTAAAAATCCTAAAACGCGAAATATGCTGTTCTTTGCGATTCGGGAACACGTAGATCAAACGATTTCACAATTTCCCTTTCGCGTGCATCAACGTCCTTCGTCGAAATCTGATTCCGTAAATAGGTACGTCGCTTTCGCTCTAATAACGTTCCCGACATCGGCATCCCGTAAAGCTCATTCCGCACACTGTACTAATAATATTCAAAGGTTGTCAACTTCGATGTTACGTTAAAGCGGAAAGCGCAGCGGCGAATGTGGGCGAGAGCAGTCGCAGGCGGCGGCTAGGATAAATTGAGATCGACCGACACGTCCCACGTATGCCGCGTCGAATCACCGGATCGTCGATTAAGTTTGGCGTCACGCGTGCCATTTTGAATAGCCGAAGTAGCTGCGTAATCGGCCGGCTGACAGGTGCCTGCGATGCCGCGAATTCTCCGCGAGGGGCTCCCCCTTCGCACGGGATTTGCCTTACTCTCATTGTCATTCGACACTCTGCCCCTCTTTCGCCAGCTCGTAAATTGTAATCCGCAAAAAATTCCTCAAAGTTAAAAAGAGATGCTGAGAGTACTCGCTTTGTTGTTCTAACAATCTGTATTGTTTTAACAAAAAGGATGATATCATAAACTTACGCCAAATATTACGTTATATGCTCATCGTGATTCAACTCTCTTCCCACTGGTTCATAAATTGTAATCCGTAAAAGAATCGCATTCTTCAAAATTAAAAGCAGGCGCCTAGTACACACGTTTTTGTTAAATTAGTATTTCTTATAAACAAAATAATATCAAGAACTTACTCTATATGAGTTTATGTTTTGTCCTTAGTAGAAATTGAACCTCGTCGGTGTCTAGCCACGAGATAGCGAATTTGTGTCTGACACCACTACTAGCCAGTAATGTACGCTCACTTTTCCTAGTGGTTAGAGAAATAAGTTAGCTGATAAGCTGATAAGCAAACAAAAGTACAAGTATGAGTTGAAAAATCATAAGTAGTTGCTAACCAGTAATGTCATGCTCAATTCTGCTTCTTTGAAATTTTTATGAAGTTAACGTATATTCAATTTTTATTTGCTACCTAATTTTTTGAAATGATAGTGGCGATATAATAGCTGGATTATATATAAAATAGACATATTTTAAAATAGACAGCGTCATCTGCTCTGTCATATTTGATATGTAATAGCTAGACAACAGCTATATCACAAACCTGATGTTATATTTCAGCGAATAATCAGTTAGTGACGAGAAAATGTTATCTCGCCTGTACTAGATAGACTAACTTTTGACTCAACCCGGCTAATTATATTTCTACGCAAGGTGAATCGACATTCTGTTTCTCTGCACGTTTGTTGCAATCCGTAAAAGAATGACATTCTTTAAAATTAAAAGCAAGCGCCAAGTACACGCGTTGTTGTTAAATTCGCATTTTTTACAAAGAAATAATATCAAGAACTTAACCCAGTTGAGTTTACGTTTTGTGATCCGGCACTCTATCTCTCTTTCGCTGGTTCGTAAATTATTGTATAATCCGTAATAAAATGATATTCCTTAAAATTAAAAGAAGACGCCAAGTACACGCGTTGTGTTTTGCTAAAAAAAAAAAATAATATCAAGAACTTATGCTAATTGAGTTTATATTTTGCAACCTGGCACTATGTCTTTTTTACGTTGGTTTATAAATTGTAATCCGTAAAAGAATGATATTCTTCAAAATTAAAAGCAGGCACCAAGTACATGCGTTGTTATTAAATTTGCATTTTTTATAAAGATTTTTTACAAAGAAATAATATCAAAAATTTAATCCAGTTGAGTTTACGTTTTGCGTCCCGGCACTTTATTTCTCTTCCGTTGGTTCGTAAATTATTGTATAATCCGTAATAAAATGACATTCCTTAAAATTAAAAGGAGGCGCCAAGTACATAAGTTGTTAAATTTGTACTTTCTACAACAGAAATGATATCGACGACTTGTGTTAGTTGACTTTACGTTTTATAATTGGACATTCTGTCTTTCTTACATCAATTCGTAGATAGTATAAATCGTAAAAGAAATTTACATTTCAAAATTAAAGGAGGCACTAAATTATTAAACTCGTATTTCTTGCGAAAAGAATGAAATCCAGAAGCTTATGTCAAATGAGTTTACGCTCGTCGTGATCCGACGCTTTGTTTCTCTCTTGCCGGTCCGTAAATTGTCATTGTAAGCGCGACAGAAGCATTATTGGTCAGCGGATCGATAATGATCAGTCTGCGATATTTCGCAACAAAGACGTGACGGAGTTTTTCGTCGAATCATTCGGAGGACGCACCGAACTTGCTCGTCGAGAAAGAGAAAGAGAGAAAGATAGCCAGACGCTCAAAAACGAAAAACCAGCACCGCGGAATCTCGCTATTTTCGGAGTACACTTACCATCGAGTTATAAGACTATTTCCGGACAGTAGCTTCGACCCTGCGCCGAATCCGGTGAGTCTATCCAATCGGTCATCCTCCCTCGCTTCTCCGGCGTCGTCTGTGTCGCTCGGTATGTGCGCTCAAAACGGCTCAGCGGGAGTTTGTGTAATTTTAGGAAGTGCCGGCGATCCGCTGTTAATAATCGAGCCGAGATTCGACGGTGCTGCGCGAGCGAAATATTTTCTCCAGCATGATAAAAGAGGAGCAGAAAAGCACGACGCGCAAAATATTGAGTTGATGCAAAAGTTCGTCCCGTTTTGGCTGCTGCGCGGTGTTGTGTCGTAAAGTCCACTGATTACCAACTTCAGACATACAGAGGAAAAGGTACAAATATGGGCTCTCTATCACTTTTTTCTTTATATCTTAAAATATAGATATGTATGTTATCAAGCAAATTGGATGTTCATTTCAATACTTGTAAAAACGATGTTTTTAAAATGATTGGATTTTTAGTTATCTACATTTTTCTGAAAAGAGAGAAATTTATAATATTGTTTGAAAATGAAATCCAAATATGGGTTATCTTAGTAATTTCAAAGTAACATAAGATTATAAAGATAAAGAAATATATTTTATTGTATATATATACAGGATGCCTTACACTCTCCTCCGGGCATTTTGTGGGAACGTAGAACAGGTTGCGGTGAACATAAAAGTTCTATATCGTTTTACGATATTTGCAATAATTATCGAGATATTAATTATAGAAAATTTGTGAATGATCATGCAGAATATGGTAAATGAGTTATAGTAGCGACGACTGCCGTCGTGTACTTATACGAATTGAACAAAAAAGTCCTCCACTATTTTCCAAATAATCACATAGATTTTTAATTATTAATTAAAGAAGATTATTGCACGATTTTGCGTGATAATGCACTCATCTTCTTTAATTAATAATTAAAAATTTATGTGATTATTTGGAAAATGGTAGAGAACTTTTTTGTTCAATTTGACCTAAAGTATAAGTACACGACGGCAGTCGTCACTACTATAACTCATTTACCATATTCTGCATGGCAATTTACAAATTTTTACAATTAATATCTCGATAATTATTGCAAATATCGCAAAACGGTATAGAACTTTTATGTTCACCGCAACCTGTTCTATGTTCCCACAAAATTCCCGGAGGAGAGTGTGAGACACCCTGTATATATATACAAGAGTGTCCTAGACATTCTCCTCCACAATTTTTATGGGACGTAGAACGGACTGAAATGAACGTAAAAGTCCCATATCGTTTTGTGATATTCGTAATAAATCTCGAGATATTAATTAAAGAAAATTGGTGAATGATCATGCGTGATCATGATAGATAAGCTGTAATGGCGCTGTCTCCCGTTGTATATTTATACATTCGGTCAAACTGAACAAAAAAATTCATTTGTACCATTTTGCAAATGACTATATAAATGTTTAGATATTAATTAAAGCCTATTTGTGCATTATCGTGCACAATCATGTAACAATTTTCTTTTATTAATAACTGAAAATATACGTGATTATTTGCAAAATGATAAAGAGTTTTTTATTCAATTTGATCTAATATACAAGCATATAATAGTATACATTGCCACTACAGCTCATTTACCATATCGTGCTTGATCATTTATCAATGTTCTTTAATTAATTTCTCGATTATTATTGCGAATATTATAAAAGAGAGTTGGACTTTTATGTTCCCCTCAATCCATTCTACGTTCCTACGAAAATTGAACACAGTCTGGGACACCCTACACACACACACACACACACACACACACACAC